ACATAAAATATTTATAAAAAAATCTACTTACACTTCACGGTGGATAGGTTTTTAAATAGCAAATTAATGAACTTAAACTTTTGAATTGTGAAACAGCAACACTCTCATCTGCATATAAATTCTAACTGACCTTCAGGAATCACATGCATCTATAATGTCGTAAACAGAGGTTTTTGCTTATTTAAAATGATTAAAGCGCCATCCGTTGCATAAAATTTAAAGTAAAAACAGATTCACGGAGGATAGAATCAATTTTCATTCATATAAGAAATAAAACACTGAAATTTTCGATTAAAATATAGTTAATTATACGTAATAACTCCTATTTAACACATTAAAAAAAGAAAAAATTAACAATGGACAAAATTTAGTTTTGGCCACATTTTAGCTCAAAATACCTGTCTGAAGACGCAGAAAACCTTTCGTATCTCGAATTCATAAAGGAAATGTACTCGCCATTAGTATAATCGTTAATTTACTTCTTCGGCATTTTAAGTTAATGCAGGAAAGTATGGGAAATAATCATAGAATTTATTTGAATCATGGTGGTCCATAAAAGGAATGCTGTTAATGGTAGTTTGAATGAAATGGTAAAAATTATTATTTTTGTGAAAAATTCCTGTTCACTTTTGGGCACACCTTGTAACTAAACGTTTAACAGATACTTCCAACGAATTTTAAACCTTATTTTTTGCTGCTTTACTAAATCCCGCAGTTATTTGCAGCATTTCTCACATGTTAGACATTTAACTCGAAAATAACGAACTTGCACATACTTCACTCCAGCAAGCACCATGCATATAACACGTAACATACACTTAGTGCAGGTTGTCATAATTATTTTCTTTATTTATTTTTATTTGCGTTAAAACTCAAATTCGCTTTCATCACGCACAGTTCTGGATAATGACGTGCTCTTGTCGAACATGAAAAAAAATCGTAATTATGTGAAGACGATTTCAAACGTTCGAGGGTGGGAGAACAGTTTTAAGAAGTTTTTTTTAGTTCTAATTTCCATCTTAAAATGCAAATGTATTCAACACGCGCTTATTACAGTGGAGCTGAAGCGAATTTAACCAGGAAATCTGCTGCTATCCTCCACCATCTAGCCAGCAACTAACGCTAATTCCTCTATCATTTTCTGCTGCCCACGAGATCATCTAGAGCTCGAGACATGTCAGAATCTGACGTTCAGATCAATGCCCTTTTGGTTTTGAGTTCAGAGGATTCGAATTGAAACTGAAATCTTACTCACTTAAAATGAATTAGTCAAAAATGAAAAAGCAGGCACATTCTAGTCAATAGCAATTTGTATCCCAAACATTTATCAGTGTAAAATTGTCCCCTGAATCCAAAAATGTCGTCAAAACATAGAAAAGTAGAACAGTCTTTGAGATACACTCAGAAAATGTTTTAATAAATATAACATAAAAAGTAGTTTGTCTTAATAAAGTAAAGATCCCTATTCGTCCAAAAATTGCTTTTGTTGCCGAAAAAATATCATTTTTATAAAAATTATTTATCTACAAACGCTGCTTTCAGTAATAACATTTTCATTAATTATAAAGTAAATTTACGTTATGTTTATAAAAATAACACTCTTCCAGATGCAGAAACGCATTGATAAAATTTAATATAGTCATTATTATATGTCCAAAAAAACATTTCTATATATAAACGGTATACCGTTTACAAAAACGTTTTGTATTAGTAATGAAACCCTAGTGGTATACCACTAGTACAAAACGTTTTTGTAAACGGTATAGAAATGTTTTTTTTGACAAATAATAATGACTATATTACTATAGTATAGAAATTCGTTTAAAATAAAACTTTTTTATAATATTAATAAAATTTATGTAAATTTAACAACAAATTAATTGTAATTCAATAAACTATTTTCATTGTAACAATGGTCACATTTTCAACCTACTGTTGGGTTAGTTTTTTTTTAATAATTGCAAGGCATTAAAACAAATAATTTATTATAACAAAAAAATTAACTCATATTATATGATGTACAAAATAAAAAAATATGAACTTACTTTTTAAACAACAAGTCTGCTTCGTTTATAGAATAGACCTTAAATGTTTCTTTTAGAAAACGTCGAAATTTTAATTTTCTTAGTGATCTTTTTGATATTTTTATCATGCTTAATTTTACCACACTCCACTCGCACAAGTGAAATCAATGAGATTATAACACAGACTTTGGATTATAAAGTTATGTTCACCAAGGAGAGCGTTGGCCCTTTCCCCCTCTTTAGGGAATTAACAAAATTTGTTACCATTGCAAAACAATAGTAAATATTAAAAAAGTCTTTTTATAGCAATAAAATATTTTTTTGATTGTTCTTAACCCCAAACAGGGTTTTTTAACTGGCCCATTTAATGGCCTTTAATGGTTGCCAAGCTTCGACCATCGGCCATATGATAGAAACCATATATGGCGAATGAATGGACCAGTTAAAAAACCCTGTTAACGTACGTAAGCTATTAACATAGATTTTCTAACTGAAATAGAATTAATTTGAATTTCAGCGATAGTAATTTAAAAAAGACAAAAAAACATTTTAAGTTCGACAAAGATTTAATATAAACATAAAGTATTTTTTATTGCCATGACAATATGATAACAACTATTACTTTGTTGGATGAACATATTTTTTATAAAAGCTCAAAATTGCTGCTTCATTATAGTAAATAAGAATTTTATTAACAGTAAAAAAAGTTTATTCTGCAAATAAAAATAATCTCTTTTCTTTGACAAATTGTAGGTTTTTGTCCCAATGAGACACTAAAAATTTAATAAAAAAGTACCTTAGGTGGTACATTTTTTATAGCCATTATCAATGCATGGACATTTTTCTGAGTGTAGTCAATTTTCCAAATAATACAGGGTGTCCGGGAAAAGGAAGTCAATCCGTTAACCATATATTCTTTGAGTTAAAACAATAAGACTTTCATAATACCATTTTTCAATTTAGAGCTTCATGTTCGATATACAGGGCGACAAAGTTTGAAATTTAAAACTGATTTTTTTTAATAATTCGAGTAATTGATAAGATATTAAGTTCAAATTCGGTACACTACTTCAACATAAATAGTTACATGTTTTGAGACCAACAAAACAAAAAAACAATTGTAAAATAATCAAAATAGTACTCACTGACTCCCCCTATTTTTAGTACGTGCGCCAATGACTTCCAAACGGTATTTTTTCAGCTATTTATTTATTGTTAAAAAAAATTTGTCTCCTATAAAATTTTGATAAAATGATTTGTTTTAGAGATAATTTATAAAGTATGGGTCAGTCCATATCAAATCAACCAAAGGTTCTTCCCCCACCATCTCCGATTTTGATAATTTTTGGTAAATTTGTTTACCTCACTAAAAAACTCAAAAATCCCATATATGAATTTTTTTCGATGGGTGGTTTTTGTTTTATTGATTTTTGAAAATCAAAAAATTCCGATAAATTTGGGTTTTGCAAGTACTTACAAAAATAGCGATATCTCGTTAACTATTAAAAATGGAAAGGTGAGTAATGGCTTATTTTAAAGGCCTTTTTTATGATATATCACATGACCTAAATTTTTCAAAAAAAAAAAAAAAAAAATTCAAAAATTTTATATGGATTGACCCATACTTTACAAATTATCTCTAAAACAAATCATTTTATCAAAATTTTATAAGAGACAAAAAATTTTCAACATTAAATGTTTACCTGAAAAAATCCCGTTTGGAAGTCATTGGCGCACGTACTAAAAATAGGGGGAGTCAGTGAGTACTGGACCCCCCCTATTTTGATTATTTGACAATTGTTTTTTTGTTTTGTTGGTCTCAAAACATGTAACTATTTATGTTGAAGTAGTGTACCGAATTTGAACTTAATATCTTATCAATTACTCGAATTATTAAAAAAAATCAGTTTTAAATTTCAAACTTTGTCGCCCTGTATATCGAACATGAAGCTCTAAATTGAAAAATGGTATTATGAAAGTCTTATTGTTTTAACTCAAAGAATATATGGTTAACGGATTGACCTCCTTTTCCCGGACACCCTGTATATAGTTAGATTTTTGTTTTAAAATTCATTACCTAACTTTTAACAAAGATTATTACGTCTCGGAGATTCGGTTTAAAGCATTAAACAGTTATTCGTATATTTCCTCGAAATGATTTTTTTCCGACAGAAAAACAAAAGCTTTTCTTGTGGACACGGCCACGAACGATTTAAGTTTTGTTTTGCGTTTCGAATCAGAAAACGCTAAATTAGCAGTTTCAAGACGATGCTTGATGACTTTGTTGTTGTCTTTTATTTTGTGCACGGCACACCGAGTTTTGTGCTTTGGTGGTTTCCGCTATACGCTGTCGACGATCACTTTGTATTTTTCGATTTCTAGATGACGTTTATTGCGTTTCGTGGGAATAAAACTGTTACGATTGGTTTAAAGTTAAGGGGTTTTTGTTGCACCTTGTTGAATTTTTCTTTATGTCGTATGGAATTATTCGTTGAATTCGTAGACTGTTAAAAAATTACATTGAAGTTTATGAATGTTATAATGCATATAACAAATGTTTTTAATCATTCTAAAAAAATGTGGTTTGCCCTTTATAACTCGAGTTATGTCCCAAATTTTTTTTCAATATTTGACATTATTATTATCATCATCATCATCAAGGTATTGTTTTTCATGAAGAAATGCACAAAACTGTAAAATGAAATTTATCAATTTGGATAAAAATTCTTAAAATTTCAAAAAAATTTAAAATTAAATATATCTAAAAAAAATTAAAATTTTGTTAATTATGATAATTCTCCTACCATTTTTCATATTCATACTTTGTACTGTGCAAATTTTTACCACAATTTTTTTTAACCACTGCTAATTTTTCCCAAAATTTTTAAAATTTATCCCACTGTGCGAATTATTACTACCATTTCTTCAATTCACCCCACTGTGCGAGTTTGTCATACCTTAAATTTATTTTTTCAGGGCACACTGAAGTTCTAACATTCTTCTACGGACCAATCGGTATTTTGCTATTCATAAATTTGGCCCTTTTCGCACTGACTGCCAGAGAGCTTACCTGTGGTTTATGGAAACGAGAGCTAGTTAAATCGACTACAGAACGGTTAGTATTTTTTTATTTATCGTTTTTTAATTAACTGTAATTACGTTTTTATCACTTTTCGGACAAATTTTAAATTAAAACTCGTTTACTTTCTAACATTTCTTATCGCAATAACTACATAATTTTAGATACAACTTTTAAAAGTTCCTATAGTGTGCTGTGGAGAATGCTGTGTTGTTATTGGTGTTTTGCTTTCTTTATAAAACATTTTCTTTAGAAAGTAAAGTATCAAATTTAAGAAACACATTCCAGGTATTTGTTTAGAATGCACGTTGTTAAGTACTGATTTTTTTCATACATGGTTAAGGTATTTATTGCAAGAAGGCAACCTTGAGCAATAAATACCGCCAAGGCCGTTTCAGTGTATACTTCTTGTGAGAAGTCGTTTTGAATTTTCTTTGACCATCGAGTCTTAACCTAACTTATCAATTTACAGGTAATGCGTTAAACTATCTTTAAATTTACATTAAGAGATAGTAAATTTAGAAGGCACTATAACTTTAATTTATGTTCGTAGATATTACGGTCTATCGATTGGGTAATAATTTAAATGCCGAGGAAATTATAATTGAATATTTTAAGTTTTATTGAATTATTTTTTAATTTAAAATTTTATTGGTTTAAAATTTAAAAATGTCAAAAACCTTACACTAATTGAATTTGAAATTTTGTAAAATATCTATACATATTCGGAATTTAATTTTACGAAAAAATATTTATTTTATACAACTTCTGTTTGCATTTTTACTATATCATTTTAATCATGTACCTGTTAAAATTGTATGTAAAATTACAATTGTTTTGCAAAACAAAGGATGAGTAAAATTACAAATCAGTGTATACCAATACAAAATTATAATACAATTTGAGTAATTTTCCAAGACATGTTGGGAAATCTACTAAGATAAGTTGTAATTTTACAATCTATATGTATATATTGTAATTTTTCTAAACAGTTTGACAGTTTCTAATAAAAAGCATCTCAGATTTACAAACGTTGTTTGTAATTTGATTTGCTATAATGTTATGTAAAATGCATAGTGTGTACCGATTGCGGCAATCACGTGATGTTCTTACATCTCGCCTTGGTTGACTTAGGTGGAAAGTATATAAGCTCAGGTGTCTTTCGTTTTTGGTGTGTTCCAATACACCAAATTGCCCGACATTGATAAGACACAAAATAGGTCTATTTGTCTTTTATTGGGTAAAAATTAGGGTACAAACTTTATTTTCCGTTCCAGAGCTGCATTAGGCCGCGTTTGCATGAAACTCGTCGTTGTGATGGGCGTGACGTGGATAGCCGACATCCTTTCGTGGGCAGTGGGGGGTCCCCAGGAAATATGGTACCTCACCGACATAATCAACTGTCTACAGGGCGTTTTTATTTTCATAGTTGTCGGCCTGCAACCGCAAGTGTTCAGCGCTGTGAAACGCTTGTGGTGCAGCAGAAAGCACCGCCAAAATGGCAACCCTGGAACGACCAATCAGCACTCGACCAGCTCGCAAGGACCTCAGTCCATGGGCGACAGTATTTCCCAAAGTGTTAATAATTTGACAAAGTCCGTTCCCTTGGAAACGAGCTGCTAAGCTGCCCTGATTTTTGACTGACTTAAGTCCAGTTGCCTAACAGTGACTGGTATGACTCGAGATTGATATTAAAACAATCGCAATAACTGACAATAATCAAATTATTTTTAGATTAAGCATTTACGTAAGACTAGTCAAAATAACGATTTTTTAAGTTTTTCAATGCATTTTACTTACTTTTACTACAAACTGCCCCCTTTCATTTATCATCGAATTTTTAGTTGTTTATCTAGATTATTTTTAGATACCCTTTGTAAATATTTTTGTTGTTACTTTTATTATTATTATTTTAGCACTGATTTTTATCGAACCCAGTATTAGTTTCTAGAATTGCTTAACAGTACTTTAATTTTTTCTGCTGCCTAATAAAAATTGAATTTATTCTTTTGTTGAGCATGCATTTAAATACACGAAATTTGTATAGTTATTTATTGAATGTAAATAGTTTATTTTTAAGCTAATTAATTGTGATTTTATTGTTTAAGGTACTGTTTATATTATTTTAGTTCTTTATGTTGTACCGTCAGTATTTTGTATAAAAATATTCAATAAAAAGTGTTCAAATCTTATTTGTTTTATTTCAATTATCATTAAAACATTCGACAACCAAAAATAAGAATTTTCAGTGGCGTCCCGAAAGGCACCTTAACGATATTTAAAAAAATCAGTATCTTGAAAACTGCATGTTTTTTTACACCCTGTAGAAGGATTTCTAACACCTAGCGACTCCTATATTTTAGTTGGAACATCAGAAGGAAGTTTTCTTTTTGTGAAATATAATTTTTATGAAAAAGATTCTGTAATTTTGTTTTAATACTTTCACTACCGGATGATAGATGGCGACACAAGTAAAACACTCCACACTTCCACACGCACTACTGACCAACTTCTAAAATCCTACCTAACATTCTGCGCCATCTGTTATACGGTAGCGAAACTTCGAATTTACAGAAAACTTTATCAAACAATTTCTTATCGCATTTTAGTAAAATCTTAATTTTGTATTGTGGTATTAGGATCGCAGAAACGCGAGGAGGTATACTCCTGATACAATGCGATGTTGCCAGATTTCCGAAAAATCCCAGATCCTGGGTTCTTTTTTAAAATTTCTTAAACATTTTAAACGTTTCTTAAAATTTTGAAATATTCGATTTTTTATTAGGATCGCAGAAACGCAAGGAGGTATACTCCTGATAAAATGCGATGTTGCCAGATTTCTGAAAAATCCCAGATGCTGGGTACTTTTTAAAAATTTCTGAAAAACTTAAACCGCTTCTTAAAATTTTGAAATTTTCAAATTTGTATTAGGATCGCAAAAACGCGAGGAGGTATACTCCTGATTCAATGCGATGTTGCCAGATTTCCGAAAAATCCCAAATCCTGGGTTCTTTTTTAAAATAAAACATTTTAAACGTTTCTTAAAATTTTGAAATATTCGATTTTTTATTAGGATCGCAGAAACGCAAGGAGGTATACTCCTGATAAAATGCGATGTTGCCAGATTTCCGAAAAATCCCAGATCCTGGGTACTTTTTAAAAATTTCTGAAAAACTTAAACCGCTTCTTAAAATTTTGAAATTTGTATTAGGATCGCAGAAACGCGAGGAGGTATACTCCTGATACAATGCGATGTAGCCAGATTTCCGAAAAATCCCAGAACCCATGTTCTTTTTTAAAATTTCTTAAACATTTTAACCGTTTCTTAAAATGTTGAAATTTTCATTAGGATAGCAGAAACGCGAGGAGGTATCCTCCTGATACAATGCGATGTTGCCAGATTTCCGAAAAAGCCCAGATTTTGGGTACTTTTTTAAAATTTCTTAAAAATTAAAACCGATTCTTAAAATTTTAAAGTTTTCGATTTTGTATTAGGATCGCAGAAACGCGAGGAGGTATACTCCTGATACAATCCGATGTTGCCAGATTTCCGAAAAATCCCAGATCCTGGGTACTTTTAAAAATTTCTTAAAAATTTAAACCGATTCTTGAAATTTTAAAGTTTTCGATTTTGTATTAGGATAGCAGAAACGCGAGGAGGTATCCTTCTGATACAATGCAATGTTGCCAGATTTCCAAAAAATCCTAGATTCTTTAAACCGATTCTTAAAATTTAAAGTTTTCGATTTTTTATTAGGATCGCAGAAAAGCGAGGAGGTATACTCCTGATACAATGCGATGTTGCAAGATTTCCGAAAAATGCCAGATCCTGGGTACTTTTTTAAAATTTCTTGAAAATTTAAAGTTTCTCAAAATTTTCGAATTTTTATTAGGATTGCAGAAAAGCGAGGAGGTATTATACTCCTGATACAATCCGATGTTGCCAGATTTCCGAAAAATCCTAGATTCTGGGTACCTTTTAAAAATTTAAACCGTTTCTTAAAATTTTAAAGTTTTCGATTTTTTATTAGGATCGCAGAAAAGTGAGGAGGTATACTCATGATACAATGCGATCTTGCCAGATTTCCAAAAAATTCCAGATCCTGGGTACTTTTTTAAAATTTCTTAAAAATTTAAACCGATTCTTAAAATTTTTAAGTTTTTCGATTTTGTATTAGGATAGCAGAAACGCGAGGAGGTATACTCCTGATACAATGCGATGTTGCCAGATTTCCGAAAATTCCCAGATTCTGGGTACTTTTTTAAAATTTAAACCGCTTTTTAAAATTTTTAAATTTGTATTAGGATAGCAGAAACGCGAGGAGGTATACTCCTGATACAATGCGATGTTGCCAGATTTCCGAAAATTCCCAGATCCTGGGTACTTTTTAAAATTTTAAGCACTGCGATGTTGCCAGATTTCCGAAATATCCCAGATTCTGGGTTCAAATTTGAGTTTTTGTATAATTTACCTTTGAGTACAAATTTCAAAAAATGAAATTTGTTTCTTTGAAGGATGTTAGAATAAAACGAAATAGTTATTTTTAAAATCGTTTATCGCATAGTACAATAATATAATTTTCATAGTAAATTATATTTTAATCTTTGGTATATGTACAAAATTAGCAATTAAATACTTAACAATTAAATACCACAATAATATTTTTGATTGTCTTTGAGAACCGAGCATAACTTTCTTTAAAATAGAAAAATTGTAAAAAATAAAGTCTCATCCGCAATAATAAAAATCAATTCAAAATATCATATAAATAACGCATAAATAATAAAATTGTCAGTCAATTAAAATAAGAGTCTTTCTTTATGTACACTAAAAAGTTAAAGCACTCGTTATTAAGTTTTCGCTTTCGGAGTTGCGGAACTTTTCTCGAACTTCTGCTGCAAACTGGAGACGCGCGAGTTTTGCCGCGCGACGCTTTTGCTCGCCGGCGGTTTAACCGACTTGCCCGCGGCGATTTTCGGTTTGGCACTGGTTATCGCCGGCTTTTTCACCGTTGCACCGTTGCCGATCACGTCGGGCGACTTGTTGCCCTGAGGCGCGCTGCAACTCGTCACCAGATCGGGCGAGTTCGTGACGCTTCGGCGAGTGCTCGGAGACTGCCTGCGCGTGCGCAGACTGGGGGTTTTAGAGGGCGGAGAGGCACTTTTTTTGTTCGGGCTTATGGGCTTGAAAGTTGACGTCAATGGTTTTTGCGATATTTCTTTCTTCACCGGTATATTTATGGCTGATGGGTGGATGTAACCGCTTGATGTAGAGCTAGCGCTTGATTTTCCGTTGCTCATGTTACTGTACTCGCTTTCCGGCGATTTATAGATGGCCGATGTGTTCACGTAGTTCTCCTCGTTTTTACGTCTCTCCTCCTGTTCTTTTTTTTTTCTCGCCAAAGTAGACGTGGAGTATATCGAATCGAAGTTCCTGTTCTGTATCTCCGACACGATCTCCCCTAGCAAACCGAACGTGTCGTTTTTGTCGGGAGCAGTATCATCAATGACGGCGTAAATATTATCCCCGCTCTGCGGACTGTTAGCTTCGCTAACACTCGCTAGCGGTGCTTTGTTCAGACAGTCATCGTACTGCGAATCGACTGCATCGTCGATTTTTTCAACGGGTTTCTTGCTGGCGGCGACGCTGGCGGGCGGTAGAGGCGGGGGCGGTATTTTCGGACGGTTGTTCGGTATGCTCAGCGGTCTTTTGAGGTTCTTACTCGGCTGTCGCATGGAACCGAACGATTGAATGTTCGGTTTGGCGTTCGGTGGACTCCTCATGCTGTGCGCTCTCGTCACCGTGACTTTTTTTTCTTCCGCATCCACCGGAAGCGTTGCTATGCTGATTTCTATGTTGGTTTGCGGTATGGGGTTGGAGATTTCCATGCTCCTCAACGTTTCCTTGCATATCGTCGTTTTGTACTTCAACTTGGTCATTCTCGGTAACGTATCGATGTTGTTAACGGGTTTTTTTTCGGATGGCTTCAAAAACGACGCGATTCTGTTCAACGCGCCACTTCCGGTTTTAGTTTTCGGCTCTTCCGGGGGCGGCAACTCAGTTTTACTGTTAACATTACTTACATGCTTCAACGGGGAAACCAGTTCTTTGGCGGTGCAGGTGGAGTTTTCCAGAACGGGCGAGGATATGATGGGGCGGGCGTTACTGCCGGGATTCGGGGGCGGCAAGGCCGGAGCCGCCGCCGCCCCGTTCTGTAAAGTCGTATTCTCGAAAAACTTGGCTTTCGCCGCGATGGTATTTTGGTGGGGCACCGGGGGCGGCGATTTGGTGTAGGTTTGGGGGGCGGGCGGGGGCGGCGCGGCCCGTATGGGTTCCGCCTCCTTTTCCGGCGCGAACATCTTGATTTTCTGTATGGAGAAGCCCCTGAAGTTGCCGAAGAATTCGTTCGGGATTGCCGGAGTTTCTTCGTGAAGAAGGGAGTGGTTGTCTTCGTTCCTCTTCATCATCCCTGATGATGGGAACGGCGGTTGGCGGGATTTCGACGGGGATTTCGACCTAAAGAAAATTATGCTTTATAGTTTTTTTTTAATTTAAAATGTTAAATACCTAACCCAAGCACCATGCTAACAAAGGTGTAAGAACTAAAACTTTTAGTGTAGGTACAAAAAGAGTATATTATAAAAAATATTCATATAAAATGTAAAAAACATGCTATTAAATCTAAATACAAATAAAATTAATAAGCAAGTATATAACACGCCGTTTTTAATATTCATTAAATAATTTAATATTGTAAATCTTGAATAAATATTTTATAAAATAATTTAGAATAAATTGGTAAAGTTAAATTTTTCAACTTATATCTCAGTTTTCGTGTTCAAGGGTTTTTCGAAAAAATATCCTTAAAGCCCTTTTATTTAATACTAAAAAATGCTCGAAAAAAACTTTTATAGGGAAATTTATTTTTAAGTAAATAAAAAATATGTTGTGTAATACCGTATTTTTGTTAGTATACCCTGAAAATTTTGTACAAATCAAATGAGCAGTAACGAAAATACAGCGCTTCAAAGTCAAAAATGATCACTTTTCAGAAAAATAATAAAAAGGGGTCATTTTTACCGACTTTGAAGCGCTGTTCGTTTGATTTGTACTAAATTTTCAGGGTATACTAACAAAAATACGGTCTTTAAAAGCATAATTTTTATTTACTTAAAAGAAAATAAAAAAAAATCCCGTAAAGTTATTTTTCGAACGTTTTTTTAATTATTAAAGAAAGGGGCTTTAAAAATATTTTCTCGAAAAACCCTCGAACACGTAAATTGAGATATAAGTTGAAGTATTTTTATACAAAATTTCATAAAGATTGGTAAAGGCGTTTTAGAGTTAGAATTTTTTTACTTATTATGCGTTAATTTTGACGGGCATTTGATAAGTTAAATTTTTTTAAACTCAAAACTATATTTTAAATATAAAATACAAATGTAAAAGTTTAAAATATTGGTTTTCAAACATTGAAAATTTAATATTTTATTCTTCAAAATTATTGGTTAATTTTGTAATACAAAAATTCTCACATTACATTTAAATGATAGTTTTAATTTTAAAGTGGTAATTTTTGCATTAAAATGTATCGACTATCATTTAAATGACTCTTGAGAAATTTAAACCAATAACTTTAATCTTTAACAAATTTAAATTGATACATTTTTACATTACATTAAATTTACTAAATTTAAATTTAGTCGATAATTTTTAATTCACAAAGTGTAAACGCTGCTTTAACTTTTAACTTTCAACACCGTACGCCGTCTGCTAAAGCTACGTTTACACTTTGTAAATTAAAAATTATCGACTTACATTTAAATGTAGTTATAAATTTTGTTTTAAAAACGTTTTAATTTAAAATTGTTAAAAATAAAAAGTTTTGGTTTAAATTTGTAAAGAGTCATTTAAATTTTTAATCCAAAAATTAACACTTTAAAATATAAAACTGTGAGAATTTTTGTGTTAAATAAATATTTATCGACTATAATTTAAATGACCCTTTGCAAATTTAAGAACAAAATATTTGAAATAAAATTTTTAAAAAATCAATATTTTTAGTTTTACAGTATTTTATATTTAAAATATTTTTTGACTATCAAGGTTTAAAAAAAATTAACTTTTTTACTGATTATTTCTATTATTTAATAAATGCTAAAACGGCGTGCCATACAAGTAAGAAAAATATTTAAGAGGATATTTTAAAAAATATTAATAAAATTTAAAATTTGTCAGATTTTAAATAAAATTTACAAACTGACACAAATTGTTTGAGTGACAGAACCTTGAAAATAGATTTTATTTATTTTGTTAAAAATAATAACTTATGGTTGAAGTATTTAATAAAAAAAAATATATGTATACACATTTAAATGTTTGCATATTAACGTTTTTTTTGTAATATTAGAATAGCCTCTTAAAAAATCAAAAAACATTACACCAAATAACTAAAAACTAAAACTTATACTTACAAAATCAGCTTCTAATAAACATGCACTGTGTACCAGTCAAGAAGCTACTAAAACTTAATATTAAAAATATACACAAAATGTTAAAAGTCAAACACCACATGCTACATAAAAAGATTATTCTAAAACCAAGCACAAAAAATTAGTAAAAAAACTATTGACCAAAAGTAAATGAAAAGCCGTGGTTTAAGAAAATTAGGTTCCCCCTACAAGAGTAAAAATTATTTTTGCAATCCAACATTGAGCTGCCCCAACTTCCTAGCCATTTCCCTAACTGAAATTTTTGGTTCTTCAGGGCACAAATTCTGCGTATCAGAATTACGATTCAAAAACGAATTCTTCAATTTTTTAAACGATTTTCTTTTAGTTGTATTTTGATAAACCACGTTTGAACTTTCATCTTCATCACCAGTATTTTTGAAAACATTATTTAACTTAAAGTTCTTAAGACTTTTTATCGACATTCTACGGGGTGCGCCAGAGTTATCCTCATTCAAATCCGCTAAATTCCCCGTTTTAATACTGGTGAAATTATTCGATTTAACAATGGCATTGCTGCGCAAAATACTGTCAGGATTCGTGGTGTAAATTAATTTGTTGGGCCGAATCTCAATATCAGGACGAATTTTTTCAGTCGTAGGGGGAACCTTGTTAATTGAAATGGTGAAAATTTTAGTGGAAACGTATTTTTTAAAGTTCATTTTATCACAACCACCGCATAAATTTTTTACGTACGCTGGCGTCAACGATTTTTTTCGTCCGAATCTCAGGTTGTGCTTCGTGTAGTAGTAGAGGAACGCCATGATTGCCATGAAAGGTATGATGCCCAGGAATATGATGAACATCGCGTTGGCAAATGCTTGGTGAGCTGAAAAAGAAACAAAAAATGTCATGACCGAAAAAAATTAACTTGCTTTATTATATTTTATTTTTAAGGTAAAATTATCAAGATGAAGCATACATTTTGTCTATGTTATCTATTATTGAAAAATCAGGAGTAGCTTTTTCCAAATATAAAAAGTAGATAGCATAGATAAAATGTATAGTCTATAAAAAGGGTTTTACCTTCCCAAAGAGGAAGACCATCAATAAAATAGTAGATAGTATTTAAAATAATATGTTTGGACTTTCTGTATTAATTTTGTTGTTGATAAATTTGAAAAAAATTAAGATACTTTGATATATTATATTTTATTTAGGATTTTCTTTGTTTTTAAGGTAAAATCATCCGGATGAAGCATACATTTTGTCTATGCTATCTATTTTTGAAAAATCAGGAGTAGCTTTTTCCAAATATAAAAAGTAGATAGCATGGATAAAATGTATAGTCTATTAGAAGGGTTTTACCTTCCCAAAGAAGAAGACCATCAATAAAATAGTAGATAGTATTTAAAACAATATTTTTTGAATTACTATACTTATTTTATTGTTGATAAATTTGAAAAAAAATTAAGTTACTTTGATATATTATATTTTATTTAGGATTTTCTTTGTTTTTAAGGTAAAATCATTCGGATGAAGCATACATTTTGTCTATGCTATCTATTTTTGTAAAATCAGGAGTAGCTTTTCTCCAAATATAAAAAGTGGATAGCACAGATAAAATGTATAGTCTATTAGAAGGGTTTTACCTTCCCAAAGAGGAAGACCATCAATAAAATAGTAGATAAATAAAAAAACAATATTTTTGGAATTACTGTTATTATTTTGTTGTTGATACATTTGAAAAAAATTAAGTTACTTTGAAATATTATATTTTATATAGGATTTTCTTTGTTTTTAAGGTAAAATCATCCGGATGAAGCAAACATTTTGTCTATGCTATCTATTTTTGAAAAATCAGGAGTAGCTTTTTCCAAATATAAAAAGTAGATAGCATAGGAAAAATGTATAGTCCATTACAAGAGTTTTACCTTCCCAAAGAGGAAGACCATCAATAAAATAGTAGATAGTATTTAAAACAATATTTTTAGAATTACTGTATTTATTTTGTTGTTGATAAATTTGAAAAAATTAAGTAATTTTGATATATTATATTTTATTTAGGATTTTCTTTGTTTTTGAGGTAAAATCATCCGGATGAAGCATAAATTTTGTCTATGGTATCTATTTTTGAAAAATCTGGAGTAGCTTTTTCCAAATATAAAAAGTAGATGGCATAGATAAAATGTATAGTCTATTAGAAGGGTTTTACCTTCCCAAAGAGGAAGACCATCAATAAAATAGTAGATAGTATTTAAAACAATATTTTTGGAATTACTGTATTTATTTTGTTGTTGATAAATTTGAACAAAATTAAGTTACTTTGATATATTATATTTTATTTTGGATTTTCTTTGTTTTTGAGGTAAAATCATCCGGATGAAGCATAAATTTTGTCTATGCTATCTATTTTTGAAAAATCAGAAGTAGCTTTTTCCAAATATAAAAAGTGGATAGCACAGATAAAATGTATAGTCTATTAGAAGGGTTTTACCTTCCCAAAGAGAAAGACCATCAATAAAATAGTGGATAGTATTTAAATAATATTTTTGGAATTACTGTATTTATTTTGTTGATAAATTTGAAAAAAATTAAGTTACTTTGATATATTATATTTTATTTAGGATTTTCTTTGTTTTTAAGGTAAAATCATCCGGATGAAGCATGCATTTTGTCTATGCTATCTATTTTTGAAAAATCTGGAGTAGCTTTTTCCAAATATTAAAAGGAGATAGCATAGATAAAATGTATAGTCTACTAGAAGGGTTTTACCTTCCCAAAGAGGGAGACCATCAATAAAATAGTAGATAGTATTTAAAACAATATTTTTGGAATTACTGTATTTATTTTGTTGTTGATAAATTTGAAAAAAATTAAGTAACTTTGATATATTATATTTTATTTAGGATTTTCTTTGTTTTTGAGGTAAAATCATCCGGATGAAGCATACATTTTGTCTATGCTATCAATTTTTGAAAAATCAGGAGTAGCTTTTTCCAAATATAAAAAGTGGATAGCATAGATAAAATGTATAGTCTATAAGAAGGGTTTTACCATTCCAAAGAGGAAGACCATCAATAAAATAGCAGATAGTATTTAAAACAATATTTTTGGAATTACTGTATTTATTTTGTTGTTGATGAATTTGAACAAAATTAAGTTACTTTGATATATTATATTTTATTTAGGATTTTCTTTGTTTTTAAGGTAAAATCATCCGGATGAAGCATACATTTTGTCTATGCTATCTATTTTTGAAAAATCAGGAGTAGCTTTTTCCAAATATAAAAAGTGGATAGCACAGATAAAATGTATGGTCTATTAGAAGGGTTTTACCTTTCCAAATAGGAAGACCATCAATAAAATAGTAGATGACATTTAAAACAATATTTTTGGAATTACTATATTTATTTTGTTGTTGATAAATTTGAAAAAAATGAAGTTACTTTGATATATTATATTTTATTTAGGATTTTCTTTGTTTTTAAGGTAAAATCATCCAGATGAAGCATACATTTTGTCTATGCTATCTTTTATTGAAAAATCAGGAGGAACTTTTTCCAAATATAAAAAGTGGATAGCACAGATAAAATGTATAGTCTATTAGAAGGGTTTTACCTTCCCAAAGAGGAAGACCATCAATAAAATAGTAGATAGTATTTAAAACAATATTTTTGGAATTACTGTATTTATTTAGTTGTTGATAAATTTGAAAAAAATTAAGTTACTTTAATATATTATATTTTATTTAGGATTTTCTTTGTTTTTAAGGTAAAATCATCCTGATGAAGCATAAATTTTGTCTATGCTATCTATTTTAAAAAATCTGGAGTAGCTTTTTTCAAATATAAAAAGTAGATGGCATAGATAAAATGTATAGTCTATTAGAAGGGTTTTACCTTCCCAAAGAGGAAGACCATCAATAAAATAGTAGATAGTATTTAAAACAATATTTTTGCAGTTACCGTATTTATTTAGTTGTTGATAAATTTGAAAAAAATTAAGTTACTTTAATATATTATATTTTATTTAGGATTTTCTTTGTTTTTAAGGTAAAATCATCCTGATGAAGCATAAATTTTGTCTATGCTATCTATTTTAAAAAATCTGGAGTAGCTTTTTTCAAATATAAAAAGTAGATGGCATAGATAAAATGTATAGTCTATTAGAAGGGTTTTACCTTCCCAAAGAGGAAGACCATCAATAAAATAGTAGATAGCATTTAAACCAACATTTTTGGAATTACTGTAATTATTTTGTTGTTGATAAATTTGAAAAAAAAAATAGGTTACTTTGATATATAGTCACGGCCAAATCTATATGGGTGCACGTCATCAATGAGATATAATGACGTCAGCATTACCAACTTTGAATTGTAAAGTTACTGCCGTTAAATTTGCTTTTTTAAGGCGTAATTCTGATGTGTTATTAAAAAGAAATCATTCATTTGCGTATTGTTTACCAAGAACTGTAACAATTTCCTTGTTTTAAAACGTTTTTTCACGAAATTATCAAAATAAAACCATTCACTTAGTAATTTTTGTGTGTGCCAGTTGGTAATAGCTTAAGGCTGGCGCGCACCGTTCAATATTATTGATGGGTCGCTGTCATTTTATATTTGACGTATTTTTGTAATTGTGACATTTCGTCCGGAAGCATCGTTTGTTGCAAATTATTATAAATAATATTATACATTATGTTTATAAGATTCTATCCCTGGATTGTGCAAACAATGATATAAGGCTTGTTGGCAACTAGCCGTTATTAGATTTCGAAGACATTGCGCCCTTAATTATTAAGGCTTAATAATAAAATTGGGGAAATAATCAGACTTCAATTCTGACCTGGTTTGCTCTGATGACAAGGACGACTGGTAATTTATATATTTTGTGTTTCTGATAATTTAGAATTTTTTGTTATGTGCATATGTAATAAAAATGTAATAAACTCCGTTTGTTTTCTCTTTAAACACATTTAATAAAAATTTGCCTGTAACAAACTCCTAATTAGTTAGTGCAGAAGATTATAACAAGGACGTTATAATTCCATCTTAATAACAGACCCCACCGCTATAAACAGTCAACAATACACGAGCGTTAGATTGTGTCTGGGCACGTATGAATAGACCTTAACGCTGACGTCATATGCCGTTGATGACGTGCACCCATACAGATTTGGCCGTGACTATATTATATTTTATTTAGGATTTTCTTTGTTTTTAAGGTAAAATCATCCGGATGAAGCATAAATTTTGTCTATGCTATCTATTTTTAAAAATCATGAGTAGCTTTTTCCAAATATAAAAAGTAGATGGCATAGATAAAATGTATAGTCTATTAGAAGGGTTTTACCTTCCCAAAGAGGAAGACCATCAATAAAATAGTAGATAGTATTTAAAACAATATTTTTGGAATTACTGTATTTATTTTGTTGTTGATAAAGTTGGAAAAAAATAAGGTAATAATTGTACCATGGGACAAGTTTAAAATTAACAAAAAACTCACCATTGGGATCAGCCGCAGGTCCGCTGTCCAGTGATCCACCCGGTCCTGGGTATTTGCAATTTGGGGGTGCAAAACCCTCCTTGCAATGGCAGTGTCCCAAGCTGTTACAAACTCCGTTTCCTTGACAATCTTCCTGACATTTCGGACCTTGTCTGCGCAAGCTCGCAACTGACATGCATTTTTGCTTCACGCACATCTAAGGGGAGAAGATTATTTAACTTAAACAACTGTTAATATTAGAAACGACAAAAATATTTTTTTTTTATTATTTCAATTAAAAACCTTACCTTTCCTTCACCACATTTGGCACCATCTGGTGCTAAACCAGGATCAACTTGATTCACCCCCAAATCCACCACAGCTGTTCTACAGGGTATAATGGACCCATTTTTGTTGATAAAACTATGCGTTAAAGTCGCAACTGCCTCCATACCGAACTCCAATCTTTCATTTAAATGTTTGCAATGCAACATACCACACAAAACATTCCTAAAAAGAAAAAACAATTATTAGTGCACAAAAACTGACGACTGAAAATTACTTACTCGTCATTGCATTTGGTGTAGCTTTGATTGAACGGGTTGTACCCGCAATTTCCATGCCCCGTGCCTTTTTTGTTCATCAAATAACACTGATTGTCGCTGGACATCCCTGTTTCGCCCCAAAGAAGCTTGCATTGGTCGGATCTTGTTCTGCAGAAGCCTTGGTAGCAGTATGATTCGCCTGAAATGAAACGAGGAGTTTTATTTGAGGTTTTTATTCGCGTTTCGGGTTGTTTTTGTTCACCTCCATCGCATGCTTCGGTGTCCAATTTGAAGATATCGGCGGGGCAGTATTCTGAATGACCTGTGCAGTATTCAGGGAGGTCGCATTCGTAATCGGCTGATCTGCAAAGGGTTCCTGCTGTTTTTGGTTTGCAAGTCTAAAAGAGGGAAATTAGTATCACCAAATAGTAAAAAGTTACTAGACGAACAATGTAGGTGTCATTATTTTTTTGAAAATATCGGTATATGTTTTGATTTTAAAGATTTAGAATAACTGTCAAATGCAATCGAAAGAGTGTGGTTTTGACAGTATACCATCAAAATTTTGTAAAAATTTGTGATAAATTACATAAGTTACATGACAAACAATGTAGGTGTCATTATTTTTTGGAAAAATTTCTGTATTTTTTTTGTTTTTAAAGATTTTGAAAAACTGTCAAATGCAGTCGAAAGAGTGTTATTTTGGCAGTATCCTGTCAAAATTTTGTAAAAATGTGTGATAGATTACATAAGTTACATGAAAAACAATGTAGGTGTCATTATTTTTTGGAAAAATGTCTATATTTTTTTTGTTTTAAAAGATTTTGAAAAATGTCAAATGCAATCGAAAGAGCGTTATTTTGACAGTGTGCCGTCAAAATTTTGTAGAAATTTTAGATAAATTACATAAGTTACATGTGGCTGTCATTTTTTTTTGAAAAATGTCGGTATTTTTTTTGTTTTTAATGATTTTGAAAAACTGTCAAATGCAATCTAAAGAGTGTTGTTTTGACAGTATACCTTAAAAAATTTGTAAAAATTTGTGATAAATTACATAAGCGACATGACAAACAATGAAGGTATCATTATTTTTTTGAAAAATGTCGGTATTTTTTTTGTTTTTAAAGGTTTTTAAAAACTGTCAAATGCAATCGAAAGAGTGTGATTTTGAAAGTATACTATCAAAATTTTGTAAAAATTTATGATAAATTACATAAGTTACATGACGAACAATGTAGGTATCATTATTTTTCTGAAAAATGTCGGTATTTTTTTTGTTTTTAAAGATTTTGATAAACTGTCAAATGCAGTCGAAAGAGTGTTATTTTGGCAGTATCCTGTCAAAATTTTGTAAAAATGTGTGATAGATTACATAAATTACATGACAAACAATGTAGGTGTCATTATTTTTTTGAAAAATGACGGTATTTTTTTTGTTTTTAAAGATTTTGAAAAACTGTCAAATGCAGTCGAAAGAGTGTTATTTTGGCAGTATCCTGTCAAAATTTTGTAAAAATTTGTGATATATTACATAAGTAACATGACAAACAATGTAGGTGTCATTATTTTTTTAAAAAATGACGTTATTTTTTTTGTTTTTAAAGATTTTGAAAAACTGTCAAATGCAATCGAAAGAGCGTTATTTTGACAGTATACCGTCAAAATTTTGTAAAAATGTGTGATAAATTACATAAGTTACATGAAAAACAATGTAGGTGTCATTATTTTTTTGAAAAATGACGGTATTTTTTTTGTTTTTAATGATATTGAAAAACTGTCAAATGCAATCGAAAGAGGGATATTTTGACAGTATACCATCAAACTTTTATAAAAATTTGTGATAAATTACATAAGTTACATGACAAACAATGTAGGTGACATTATTTTTTTGAAAAATTTCGGCATTTTTTTTGTTTTTAATGATTTTGAAAAACTGTCAAATGCAATTGAAAGAGCGTTATTTTGACAGTATACCATCAAACTTTTATAAAAATTTGTGATAAATTACATAAGTTACATGACTAACAATGTAGGTGTCATTATTTTTTTGAAAAATGTCGGTATTTTTTTTGTTTTTAAAGATTTCGAAAAACTGTCAAATGCAATCGAAAGAGCGTTATTTTGACAGTATACCATCAAACTTTTATAAAAATTTGTGATAAATTACATAAGGTACATGACAAACAAGTTAGGTTTCATTATTTTTTGAAAAATGTCGGTATTTTTTTTGTTTTTAAAGATTTAATAAAACTGTAAATAAAATCGAAAGATCGTTGTTTTGACAGTATACCGTCAAAATTTTGTAAAAATTTGTGATAAATTACATAAGTTACATGAAAAACAATGTAGGTGTCATTATTTTTTTGAAAAATGTCGGTATTTTTTTTGTTTTAAAAGATTTTGAAAAACTGTCAAATGCAATAGAAAAAGTGTGATTTTGACAGTATACCATCTAAATTTTGTAGAAATTTGTGATAAATTACATAAGTTATATATATTTTTTTGTAAAATGTCTGTATTATTTTTGTTTTTAAAGGAAGATTGTAAACAAAATTTCTTATTGTATTTCTTGATGAAAAAAACTGAAAAACCAAGCGTATAGTACAACTTCTCACCGTTAGATCGCAGCACTCGCCGGTGGCGCAGCTGGCATTGCTGTGCAACATGCACGTGGTCGCGTTGCAGCACGTGTTGTCGCAATTCTGCGGCAAGCCGCAATCGCATTGTTCTCCGTGCTCTACGAAGCCGTTCCCGCACACGGGGCCTTCGAACAGCTCCTTGGGTTTGTTCTTCAGGCAGTAGTCCATGCCGTGGATGAACGCCTGCAGCAGGTAGTTCTTGCTGCAGGAGGACCAATGGGTGGGCGCCACTGACCCGCTGCTCGGCGCCATTATGCACTTCTCTTCCGGACATTTGCATTCAGTCGTGTCGTGTTCCATGCCTAAGAGGTATAGGAGGTAACAATCTATTTGGTGCAACACAAGTTCTAAACTTTGTATTGAATTAATAGTTATTATTTTTTTGAAAAATGTCAGAATTTTTTTTGTTTTTAAAGATTTAGAAAAGCTGTCAAATGCAATCGAAAGAGTTTGATTTTGACAATACACCGTCAAAATTTTGTAAACATTTGTGATAAATTACAAAAGTTACATGACAAACAATGTAGGTGTCATTATTTTTTTGAAAAATGTCGGTATTGTTTTTGTTTTTAAAGATTTAGAACAACTGTCAAACGCAATCGAAAGAGCGTAGTTTTGACAGTATAACGTCAAAATTTTGTAAAAATTTGTGATAAATTACATAAGTTACATGACGAACAATGTAGATGTTATTATTTTTTGGAAAAATGTTGGTATTTTTTTTGTTTTAAAAATTTAGAAAAACTGTCAAATGCAATCGAAAGAGTGCGATTTTGACAATATACCGTCAAAATTTTGTAAAAATTTGTGATAAATTACATAAGTTACATGACGAACAATGTAGAGTTTATTATTTTTTGGAAAAATGTTGGTATTTTTTTTGTTTTTAAAAATATTAAAAAATTGTCAAATGCAATCGAAAGATCGTTGTTTTGACAATATACCGTCAGAGTTTTGTAAAAATTTGTGATAAATTACATAAGTTACATGAAGAACAATGTGGGTGTCATTATTTTTTTGAAAAATGTCGGTATTTTTTTTGTTTTTAAAGATTTAGAAAAATTGTCAAATGCAATCGAAAGAGCGTTGTTTTGACAATATACCGTCAAAATTTTGTACAAATTTGTGATAAATTACATAAGTTACATGACGAACAATGTAAATGTTATTATTTTTTGGAAAAATGTTTGAATTTTTTTTGTTTTTAAAATTTTTTAAAAATTGTCAAATGCAATCGAAAGAGCGTTGTTTTGACAATATACCGTCAAAATTTTGTACAAATTTGTGATAAATTACATAAGTTACATGACAAACAATGTAGGTGTCATTATTTTTTGGAAAAATGTCGGTATTTTTTTTGTTTTTAAAAATTTAAAAAAATTGTCAAATGCAATCGAAAGAGCGTTGTTTTGGCAATATACCGTCAAAATTTTGTAAAAATTTGTGATAAATTACATGACAAACAATGTAGGTGTCATTATTTTTTTGAAAAATGTCGGTATTTTTTTTGTTTTTAAAGATTTTGAAAAACTGTCAAATGTAATCGAAAGAGCGTTATTTTGACAGTATGCCCTCAAAATTTTGTACAAATTTGTGATATATTAAATAAGTTACATGATGAACAATGTAGGTGTCATTATTTTTTTGAAAAATGTCGGTATTTTTGTTGTTTTTAAAAATTTAGAAAAACTGTCAAATGCAATCGAAAGAGCGTTGTTTTGACAAAATACCGTCAAAATTTTGTAAAAATTTGTGATAAATTACATAAGTTACATGACAAACAATGTAGGTGTCATTATTTTTTGGAAAAATGTCGGTATTTTTTTTGTTTTTAAAAATTTAAAAAAATTGTCAAATGCAATCGAAAGAGCGTTGTTTTGACAATATAGCGTCAAAATTTTGTAAAAATTTTTGATAAATTGCATAAGTTACATGACCAACAATTTAGGTGTCATTATTTTTTTGAAAAATTTCGGTATTTTTTTTTGTTTTTAAAGATTTAGAAAAACTGTCAAATGCAATCGAAAGAGTGTTATTTTGACAGTAAAGTTAAAAAACAATTGAAAAGCGTTTGGATAAAAAAAACAAAAAAATTCTTACCAAAATTATGTCCCATTTCATGGGCAATTGTAGCAGCAACCAACCCAACGACTTCAGAATGGTCATTATTAACACCTCCAGACAATTGGTAAGTACAAATGGGACCTTTTAAAGCTTTACCAACAACGCCGTTTTCAAAAGAAAATTTACTAAAAAGAAAAAAACACCATAAGCAAAGGAAGACTATAAATTAAATTGAACTCACGTAATAAGTTGAGCATTATCGTTCGGGTGTTCTTTGACCAAAATTTCTCTTCTGTAATGTAAAAAGTTCGTGAGCGTGGTATCGCCGTTGCTGGAAAATGTGATTTCATCGTTTTCCTTCCAAATTACCACACCGACCAAGGCGATAAAAATATTGAGCGGGGCGTAAAGCTAAAAAAAATTGACGTCATTGAGCCAAATTTGACCTCAGAATTGCTCCATCACACCAGGTTTTCGTGAAATTATATTAAATTAAAATCACTCAAAAACTTGCCGTCATGGGGCAAAGTATTCAACAATAGTTACCCCGTTGATAATGTTGGCAATTTCCTTGCAATGGTCCTCCACTTTCCTGTGGTTGTCCGAGAAATGTTTGAATTCCATGTTGTCGACTACCAGGACCAGTTCCACGTATTTTGAGTCCTTGTTGGCATTGTAAGGACCTCGGACTTTGTCGTTTTCTTCTGCTGCTCTTTTATACTGCAAATTTAGTATTTTTACTTATAACAAAGTATATTTTCAGAAATTTTTATTTTAAAATGTTTTTTCAGCATCCTTTATATTTTTGATAGATTTACATGACTGAAATAATTTTGCAATTGCAAATACAGATATTCTACAATATTTTTCGGTATTTTTGGGTCTTTATTTTTATGAAAAATGTCAATATTTTTTTTATTTTTGAAGATTTAGAAAAACTGTCAAATGAAATCGAAAGAGTGTGATTTTGACAGTATACCGTCAAAATTTTGTAAAAATTTGTGATAAATTACATAAGTTACATGAGGAACAATGTAGGTGTAATTATTTTTTTGAAAAATGCCGGTATTTTTTTTGTTTTTAAAGATTTTGAAAAACTGTCAAATGCAATCGAAAGAGTGTTATTTTGACAGTATACCGTCAAAATTTTGAAAAAATTTGTGATAAATTACATAAGTTACATGACAAACAATGTAGGTGTCATTATTTTTTTTTTAAATGTCGGTATTTTTTTTGTTTTTAATGATTTTGAAAAACTGTCAAATGCAATCGAAAGAGCGTTATTTTGACAGTATACCATCAAACTTTTATAAAAATTTGTGATAAATTACAGAAGTTACATGACAAACAATGTGGGTGTCCTAATTTTTTTTTAATGTCGGTATTTTTTTGTTTTTAAAAATTTAGAAAAACTGTCAAATGCAATCGAAAGAGTGTTATTTTGATAGTATACCGTCAAAATTTTGTAAAAATTTGTGATAAATTACATAAGTTACATGACGAACAATGTAGGTGTCATTATTTTTTTGAAAAATATCGGTATTTTTTTTGTTTTTAAAGATTCCGAAAAACTGTCAAATGCAATCGAAAGAGCGTTGTTTTGACAGTATACCGTCAAAATTTTGTAAAAATTTGTGATAAATTACATAAGTTACATGATAAACAATGTAGGTGAATTTATTTTTTGGAAAAATATCGGTATTTTTTTTGTTTTTGAAGATTTAGAAAAATTGATGATTTTAAATTAGTTTTTATTTATTAATTACATATTTGTTGTTTTGTACCTAAACCAAAATTTATATGTTTTTGAAATAATATTGCAATTGCAAATACTATTAATTTAATCCAGACATTCCACAATATTTGTCGGCATTTTAGGAAAAAAAATTATGACAAACCACGCGCTGAAAAATATTTTCAAAACGTGATATTACGAATAGGAAAAACACACCTCTGGAATAAATTAAATTTACTTGAAAGTCTAAACCGACAAACAGGATTACTAATTCCAGGAAATCCTTATTGTTAAAGTACAGATAATCTGTACTTTTATTTTATAGTTAAACGTTCTCTAGACACAATTAATAACATAATAAACGCGTTTGATAATCTGTTATGTCCTAAATAGTTTAATGATAATAATTACAGCAAATATAACAACATTTAATCAGCTGATGATTTTTACAAATAGGATATGAGTTATTAAGTTGCGGAAACATTATGTCTTAATAGTATATAAATCCTAAAAACTTACCCTAGAAGCTCTATTCTGCTTATCATGTTCAAGGATTTTGAAAGGATCTCTAGCATCCCCGCCATATCCACAGGTTTTGTTCGTTTCCAACAAGTGTTTGTGGCTATAGAAAAAATGATGGTCCTCGTCTAAATCGTTCGATTTTCTATTCACATCCTTTTCGATGTAGTGCATTTCTTTTCCATCAAATATTACTCCTGACAGGCCGTTGCACGTCGAAATGGCCACCCAGGAGTCCTTTTTACCTCTTACTTTTCCATTGTAGTGGCATAAGTCTATTTCCTAAACAAATAAATATTTTTGTTATGTTTTTTTCTTAAATTCACAATGAAGTAACACCTTAATACCGTCTCAGGGAAAATATGAAATAATACCTAGTAGCACATTTTTTTCCAATGAATATATTAAATTAGCTAAAAACTGGTGGAAAAAAATTTAAAAAAGGTGGATAAATTTTCAAAATGTCCAAAATTTCTAAAATTATTCAAAATTTTCCAGTTTTCCTAAATTTTTTATTAAATTGTCATACATTTTATAGGGCAAAATCGCACAGTGGGATAAATTTGGAAAATGGTAAAAAACACTCACACAGTGGCATAAATTAAAAAAATAGTGGAAACGTTTTAAAATTTTTTTAAAATTTTCAAAATTTCTGAATTTTTTTAAATTTTCAGATTTTTCAAATTTTTCAAAATTTTAAACCTCTAAATTTTTAATTTAAAAAATGGTGGATTTTTTTTTTAAATTTCCAACATTTCTAAAACTTTAAAATTTTTCACAATTTCCAAGTTTCAAAATATTCAGATTTCTCAAATTTTCCAAAATTTCAAATTTTCCTAAATTTTTAATTAAATTGTCATACATTTTAAAGACAAACTCGCACAATGGCATAAAATAAAAAAATGTTGGACAAATTATCAACATTTCTGAATTTTTTAAAATTTTCAGATTTTTTAAAATTTTAAACCTTTTAAAATTTTTAATTAAATTGTCAAACATTTTATGAGACAAAATTGCACTTTGGGATAAATTTAGAAAATGGTAGAAAAAACTCGCATATTGGCATAAATTTAAAAAAAATGGTGGACAAATTTTCAAGTTTTTTTTTAAATTTCTGAATTTTTAAAATTTTCAGATTTTTCAAATTTTCCAAAATTTTAAACCTAAATTTTTAATTAAATTGTTTAACATTTTATAGGGCAAAATTGCACAGTGGGATAAATTTAGAAAATGGTAGAAAAAATCGCACTGTGGCATTAAATTTTAAAATGGTGGACAAATTTACAAAATTTCTAAAACTATTTTCCATTTTTTTTATTGAATCATCAAACATTTTACAGGGCAAAATTGAACAGTGGGATAAATTTAGAAAATTGTAGAAAAACTCGCACATTGGTATAAATTTAAAAAATGGTGGATTTCTTTTAAATTTCAAACATTTCTAAAACTTTAAAATTTTTTACAATTTCCAAGTTTTAAAATATTCAGATTCCTTAAATTTTTCAAATTTCCTATTTTTTTTATTAAATTGTCATACACTTTATAGGGCAAAATCGCACAGTGGGATAAATTTATAAAATGGTAAAAAAAAATAAAATAAAATAATGTTAGACAAATTATCAACATTTCTGAATTTTTTAAGATTTTCCGATTTTTTAAATTTTTTAGAATTTTAAACCTTCTTAAATTTTTAATTAAATTGTCAAACATTTTATGAGTCAAAATTGCACAGTGGGATAAATTTAGAAAATGGTGGAAAAAACTTGCATATTAGCATAAATTTAAAAAAAATGGTGGACAAATTTTCAAAATTTCAAAATTTTTCAAAATTTCTGAATTTTTTTAAATTTTCAGATTTTTTAAATTTTACAAAATTTTAAACCTTTCTAAATTTTTAATTAAATTATCAAACATTTTATAGGGCAAAACTGCACAGTGGGGTAAATTTAAAAAAAATGGTGGACAAATTTTCAAAATTTTCAGATTTCTCTAATTTTCAAAAAAAATTCTAAATTTGTAATTAAATTGTCAAATATTTTATCGTTTTTTTCTATATATAAAAATTGTTTTTCTTTGTGGAATAATTCAGAAGTGTAATTTTACTCAATATCGTTTAAAACTGACAATTTTATAGAGCAAACGTTTTTCTTAATGATCTGATTGGTTTTGTCTCCAAATAGCATTAGGTATTATATTTGCAGGAATTAAAATTTTAAACAAAAATAACAAAACTTACCTCTTTGGTTGGTCTGTGAACCTTGTTGATTCCTTTTTCCTGATATCGATAGAAGAAACCTTTTGGTATTAACTGTTTATTTAAGGTTAAATCCAAGATGAATTCCTCATTTTCTACATCTAACTTTATGGTCACGTGATCCAAGTGTTCAGTACCCTGAAAGATAAAAAAAAGATAAATTTCTTAAACTGAGTTGAAATGAATTGTATAGTATAATTACAATACACCATTTTAAAATTACTAAACAAATTTAGTATTTTTTTAGCAAAATTACAATACCTGTATAGTAATGTTACTGAACAAATTTTTAATAAATGCTTAGTGAATTTCAACAAACGTTTTGTAATTTTCCCAAATTGAGTTGTAATGAATCGTGTAGTGAATTTACAAAACTAAGTTTTATTATTATTATATTGTGGTGAGTAAAAACTTCCTAAACATGTTTAGTAAAATTACAATAGAAATTTTTAACAGATTTTTAAACAGAATCGGAAATGACTGTGTTGGATTCAGTCGAATTTCAAACACGTTTAAATTAATTTTACGGACAAATCCTTTTTCGTGTCTATAGTCTAAATTGAGTTTCTTTCCCTACGCTCCCTGACGTTTCAATTGGCCTAAATTAACAGTAATTGTTTTAACGGTAACTTTCGGTGAGCACTACTAAAACAACGTACGAAATTCGTCCTCTTAAATTTCAACAAGTTTTTGATGATTTTGTTGTAGCGGATGTGCTTTAAAACGCATGAAATGGAGTTGTTATTCATAGCGAAGAAAATTAAAATGCAAGATCTGTACATCTGTAACCATTAGCGGTTAATAATTACGGTCAAGTTTATTGAAAACGTGCAACAATTTTATGAATATTCATTGAGTGCAAGATATTTATTTAGTAATGTTTTTGTTGAATTATGGGAACTATTTAAATAAGGCTTGTTTTGAAAATTACTGATAACATTTAATTTACAATGGGTTGTATAAATATTTTTTGCATAATTATTTTTTCCAAGTATGTTATTGACATACCCTACATTTGTATAACATGGTATCAAATACAATTCAATTGTACGAAACTCGATTTCGATATGCATACTGTGTTTGTTATCCTATAGGAAGCATTGATAAGGAGCTCGCTTATCAAATTAAGCAGTTGCATTGTCAGTCAATGTACTGTAGTGTTGTGATTGTAAAAGGCAATCAGAATGCATCAGAATGCTAAGTGCTCTTAACCATGATTTATGGAGAATAATATCTAAAAGTGGAAAATTTATGGTTTTTAATAATAATTTGATGTTTTATAGTTTTTTAGGAATTAGATTTTTTTTTAATTAAATTTCTTTTAAATATTAACCTATATATACGATATGTGTTTAGAAAATATAGGGAATTTTCGTTTTTTGAAACAAAGCGACTTCTCTGATGGTTTATAACCATTTCTTCCACTTTTTCCATGTTTTTATCGGTTGTTAATGTGCTTTTGCGTTCGGGGCGTTCGTCATCTTCAACGTCTTCACGGCCATCTTGGAAACTCTTATACCACTTGTAAACTCTTGTTTTACTTATAGCAGACTCACTATAGGCCTTTGTTAACATTTCACAGAATTTATTTAATTTTTTAAGCAAAATTGGATACAAATTCATTGATCCATTTCTTTTAACGAACGAACAATCGTCGAGCTCATAAAACACGTCTAACCTTAGCGGCTGCCACAGACAAAGTAAACAATGAAAACAGCTAAAGTTTTTATCATACTTCGGGGGCATGTTTACCAACATATATGACAACCGGACCCTCCGAACCCGCGAAATTTAACAATTCCCGTTATTTTCTGAACACACCTCGTACTTGCGGAATGGTGAGACTGAGATGATTAATCTTTAATATAGAATAATTTTTATAAAAATGTATATAAAAATTTTAACTGTTTCTTCACGCTTTTATAAGGCAGCTCAATCCATTAAACTTTATTAGGTATAATTATATTCCCCGCTTTCTATTTTATTTTTTTTGCGAAATAAAGTACAGCAAGTTCCACTTTTTCCATCAGAATGATTCTGTCAATTCGCGCGATAATTGCTAAGTGCTGTAGGAACATAAAATGCACTTTTAAGCGGCGTAAATTGTTACGCTTTTATTACCTAGTATCTAGTTCGAAACTCTAATATTAACAGTAAATTTTAAGTACTGTTAAAAACTCTCACTTTTTTGTTTATAATTAAGAACGGTACTGTTTCTGACAAAAAAGTAGTCTTTGTAAAGATCCCTATTCGTCCAACAATTTCTTTTGTTACGGCAAAAAGATCATTTTTATAAAAATTATCTACAAACGCTGCTTTCAGTAATAGCATTTGCATTAATTATAAAGTAAATTTACGTTAAGTTTATAAAATAACACTCTTCCAGATGCAGAAACGCATTGATAAATATAGATAATATTATTTGTCCAAAAAAACCGTTTACAAAAATCTTTTTGTATACTATAGTATTATGGTATTATTCATAGAAATTTTGTAAATTTTACAAATACGTTTTCGTTTAAAATAAAACTTTTTTTATAATATTAATAAAATTTATGTAAATTTAACAACAAATTAATTGTTAATTCAATAAACTATTTTCATTGTAACAATGGTCACATTTTTAACCTACTTTTGGGTGTTGGGTAGTTTGTTTCAAAATAATTGCAAGGCATTAAAACAAATTATTTATAATAACAAAAAAATCAACTCATATTAAATGATGTACAAAATAAAAAAAATATGAACTCACTTTTTAAACATCAAGTCTGCTTCGTTTATTGAATAGACCTTAAATATTTCTTTTAGAAAACGTCGAAATTTTAATTTTCTTAGTGATCTTTTTGATATTTTTATCATGCCAGATTTTACCACACTTCACTCGCACAAGTGAAATCAATAAGATTATAACACAGACTGTGGATTATAAAGTTATGTTCACCAAGGAGAGCGCTGGCCCTTTCCCCCTCTTTTTAAGGTAAATAACAAAAATTTTGTTACCATTACAAAACAATTGTAAATATTAAAAAGTATTTTTATAGCAATAAAATATTTTTGTTATTGTTCTTAACGTAAGCAAAGCAAAGATTTTCTAACTGAAATAAAATTAATTTGAATTACAACGATAGTAATTTAAAAAAGACAAATATGCCATAGTAAAATGAACAAATTTTACTATAACAACTGCGCATTACTTTATGTAAGCGCAATTCACACACAACTATAGATTTAACAAAAACATTTAAAGTTCGACAAAGATTTAATATAAACATAAAGTATTTTTTATTGCCAGGGCAATATGCAAGTAATAGTTGTTATCATGATAACAACTATTACTTTGTTGGATGAACATTTTTTTTTATAAAAGCTCAACATTGCTGCTTCATTATAGTAAATGAGAATTTTATTAGCAGTTTCTGTTTTTAATTTTAATTAAAACATAATAAAGAAGTTTCGGAAAAGAGGGCCCCCAGATTTTTACCCCGGGCCTCGAAATACCTTAGTGCGCCCCTGGTTTAATGTATGATATTTCAGAAACACTCTGTATAATACTTAATGTTTTGAAGGTTTATAAAGAAATTTTAAAATTTTCAAGAAGTTATAAAAATAAGTCTGATAGCATCAAGTTTTAAAAATAATACCAGATTTTTACCTCGTCTTTGGTCGATGATATCTGTCTTTTTTCTCTCCCATGGTGTAGCCGTGGCTTGACAAGTGTGTAACGGCTGAAATCCAAAGTGGCAGGATGTGCTTCAGCTGAAACAAAAAACGCAAAAAATTAAAAAAAAATTATAAGACAACAAATAAAAATTAACTTAATTATAAGCAACGCTCGTAGTGGTTTTATTGCCCTTTTAATGTTATGGCTAATTTACCTAATTATAAATAATGACTTAACTGACAAATTAGTAACATAAGATAAGTACGAGGTGTGTTCAGAAAATAACGGGAATTGTTAAATTTCGCGGGTTCGGAGGGTCCGGTTGTCATAAAATTTTCTTTATTATGTTGGTATACATGCCCCCGAAGTATGATAAAAACTTTAGCTGTTTTCATTGTTTACTTTCTGTGGCAGCCGCTAAGGTTAGACGTGTTTTATGAGCTCGGCGATTTTTCGTTCGTTAAAAGAAATGGATCAAAGAATTTGTATCCAATTTTGCTTAAAAAATTAAATAAATTCTGTGAAATGTTAACAAAGGCCTATAGTGAGTCTGCTATAAGTAAAACAAGAGTTTACAAGTGGTATAAGAGTTTCCAAGATGGCCGTGAAGACGTTGAAGATGACGAACGCCCCGAACGCACAAGCACATTAACAACCGATAAAAACACGGAAAAAGTGGAAGAAATGGTGGTAGCAAAATTTGTTCTAAAATTGTTAAATTTTGAACAAAATTTTTGGCCAAAACCAATACTGTAATGATGCCCCAGCCTCCATATTCGCCAGACATGCCTCTGTCTGACTTTTTCCTATTTCCAAAAATAAAGAGAACCTTAAAGGGCCGTCGTTTTGCAAGCATAGATGACATTAAAAGCGCTTTACTGAAAGAACTAAAGGCTGTCCCAAAGATCGAGTTTTAGAAGTGTTTCGAGTATTGGAAGAAGAGCTTGCACATGTGCATAATATCCAATGGGGACTATTTTGAAGGCGACAACATTAATGTAGACGAATAAATAAATATTTGTTTCAAAAAACTAAAATTCCCGATATTTTCTGAACACACCTCGTATGTTTATTCGACATACGTTTTTAAGTAAAATTTGGTAATAATAGGAAACATTTTTATTAAATAGGGTTTGGCTTATTAACAGAAACACGCGGTATATTAGGTATAATTTTAATGGTTTTTGCGATGAAAAATGTTTCCTTTTAATTAATTAATATTAGTCACCAAGTGACACAAACAATTATACTTGTTTCGTGCAAAAATTAAAATTGTTCGCTAAAATGAGCATATTAAATAAGCTGCTGACTGTGATGATAATGTAGTTTTTTAATTAAAAAATTAATTAGGTAATTTTTAGGTTTAGGGTAGTTATCCAATTTTTTGTTCCTCTTGTCTTTCAAAATATGTATTAAAAAACTACCTATTTTATTAAAAAAAATCCTTCTCTTAATACTTACAAAGTTAAAAAATGTTTGTTAATTTTAACCAAATATTAATACAATTTATGTAAATTTAACAACAAATTAATTGTTAATTCAATAAACTATTTTCATTGTAACAATCACATTTTCAACCCACTGTTGGGTATTGGGTAGTTTTTTTTTAAATAATTGCAAGGCATTAAAACAAATTATTTATTATAACAAAAAAATTAACTCATATTATAGTCTGCTTCGTTTAAAGAATATTTTTTTTAGAAAACGTCGAAATTTTAATTTTCTTAGTGATCTTTTTGATATTTTTATCATGCTAAATTTTGCCACACTTCACTCGCATAACACAGACTGAAATATAAAGTTATGTTCAACAAGGAGAGCGCTGGCCCTTTCCCCCTCTTTTTAAGGGAAATAACAAAAATTTTGATACCATTGCAAAACAAAAAATATTAAAAAAGTCTTTTTATAGCAATAAAATATTTTTGTTCTTAACGTAAGCTATTAACAAAGATTTTTTAACTGAAATAAAATGAATTTGAATTACAACGATAGTAATTTAAAAAAGACATTTGCAAATATGCCATAGTAAAATGAACAAATTTTACTATAACAACTGCGCATTACTTTATGTAAGCGCAATTCACACACAACCATAAATTTAACAAAAACATTTAAAGTTCTACAAAGATTTAATATTAACATAAAGTATGGATGAATATATTTTTTATAAAAGCTCAACATTGCTGCTTCATTATAGTAAATGAGAATTTTATTAACAGTAAAACAACTTTATTCTGTAAATAAAAATAATCTCATTACTACAAAAAATTATGTTAAAATTTTACAAAATAAAATCTGATTTTTATAACAGTGTAAGTAACAAATTTTAAAAAAAGTGTGTCAATGAAACTTTCTGAAACCCGACTTCGGGATTAAATTTCAAGAGGATTTTTTCCTAATACCCTGAAAAATCCCAAATATCCACACGTCGAATTCCACACACGTATAAATTCAATGTTGCCACATCAGCCGGATCAAAATGCTTGAATAAAACTTTGATTGTGAGCCGGAAAATGGTTTTTTGATGAGTTCACAAAGGAATGTATGAAATATGTAAAAAAAATGTTATCAAAAATTTTGGTTAATGAATCAGGTTTGCAATGCAATAATTTGATTATTTTAAATGAGGTTTTTGAAATGTATAAAGATGAATCTCACGAAATGTCCCCCGATGGTGTTACCCCGTGATATTTAATAAAACTAAATGAGTTTGACCTACACTTTTATTGTGTTTTGATCTTTCATAATTAAGTAGATATTATAATATACAGCTCAGGTTCCAGATTTTTAACCGCAATTAATTATTTTGTACAATGTTTTAAAAATCTAAAACCTATCCTCTGTGACTGTTACTCTTTCTAGGTTAACCTATATGTTTTCAAATATCTGAGGTAGTAAAAGCATACTAAAAATAACAGTTCCCTAAGTAAATTAAACACATCCAAAGCAATCAAATAAAATATATAATATTATTGAAAATTAAAATAAATAATTTTTATAACCGTTTATGTAGGTGTTAGAAAAATTGATTCTATCCTCCGTGAATCTGTTTTTGCTTTAAATTTTATGCAACGGATGGCGCTTTAATCATTTTAAATAAGCGAAAACCTTTGTTTACGACATTATAGATGCATGTGATTCCTGAAGGTCAGTTAGAATTTATATGCAGATGAGAGTGTTGCTGTTTTATAATTCAAAAGTTTAAGTTCATTAATTTGCTATTTAAAAACCTATCCACCGTGAAGTGTAATATCTCAGAAAGTAGATTTTTTTCTAAATATGTTATGTATGTACAATTGTATTTTTAAAAAATATTAAGGTGTTAAAAGATACAATAACTTATTTCCAATATACAAAGGGATGTTTAAAAAAAACATACGAAATCCTAACCTCCGTGAAGCTCTAATATTCAAAATGTATGATTTCTTAAAATTCTTGCATTAGTGCAGAACCACTTATGTTAAGTTATTAGTAGACCTGGTGGCTTCTCAAAAACCCCATTCTAGACTAACAGTGAAACAAAGAAAAATAAAAATAATTTTCATCAAAAATTACTTTAATTCTTTCTTTTGTCTGTTTTGCCGGCACAGCCAGACATTGCCTGTACGTTATACTACGTTCAAACTTAAGTATTGTGCCGTTTTGTGGTCTCGAATATCAACGGAGAACACAAACAACCTTTTCAGTTCTATAAATGTACACGTGGTTTCTTCAGAGTTCGATTCGGCTCGGTGAGTAGGTAGGGCTTTCGACAGCTTGAAATTTAATTTCGTATTGTCGAGGCACATCGTCAAGAAACAATAGAGTTTTGTTTGAAGGGCCATAGAAAGTGACATTGAACGTCTGTTATGATTTATAACAATATATGTCATTATTTGAGTAATAACTCGAGAGTACGGTGGACTGGAATTGTAATAAAATGTTCACAATTTATTAAAAAAAAAACTATAAGTGGGTCGTTTTCAAAAAACACCCGCCTTCCGCTGTCCGTAAGTTTGAATTCCAATAACTTTGTTAAAAATTATCGGATCTTATTGATTTAAAAACCAAGTGAAAGCCTAACAAGCCCTTAGTAAACTTTTCAGAAAATTTTTGTTTAGTTATTTCAGAATAATTTAATTTTGAAACTTGTGAAACACACATTTTCGCATGTCCCATTAGCGTTTTATAAAACTTACATACATGTTTTTTTTTTAAATATTGAATAACCAGAACTTTGTGTTGCTTTATAGCAATCCATAACATCCTTAGTTAATACAGTAAACAATTTATATATAAAATAATTAATTTTAATCTACTTTTTTTAAATTTGACTCATGTCCCAGACATTTTTTCCGTTGCGTTACGTCCGTCGCGTTACCGATAGAATATTTAAAAAAACATACATTTGGTACTCACGTGATCAACAAATGATGTTCGGACGTACACATTACTAGTACCCAGCTGAATATATTTATTCAATCAGGCAGAAGATATCGGTTGAAACAGGTGCGGGTAACGCGAATGCAATAATTGTTTGTCCGCTATGTTACTCAAAAAAATAATAAAAATAAGGTAAGAAAAAATACTATTTTTCATGTTTATGTTTATTTTAGGGCACTAAAGCTCATTGAGAGTAATTAATGACTATAATGTCTTATTATTATTTTTTAAATATGGTTTTACAAAACTTTGTCCACTGCGTTACCGAGTCCACTATGTTACCTTGTGGTAACGCAATGGAATTTAGGGTAACGCAATAGAATTTTTCGAAAACAAAGTGGATATTTACCGTCGCTTTTATTAAAAGTAGTTTATGATTAACCAATTTAAAATTTTTTGTAATTACAACTCATGATATAGATTACATCCAAGGGAAAATTCCACGCAATATAAAAGTACTAAAAGGGAAATCTAAGTTGTTATTCTGCAAGTGAGCACCACTACAAGGGATTTTGTTTATGCATTACTCTAAAATCGTACCACCCTATATAGTTTCTTTTTTACGTTATCTGATTAAGTCCTTTGTGTACCGTTGTGATACCAATGTCTATTTCGTTACTTTTTTTAGTTTTTGTTAAAAAAAATACTTAAAATGATTTTTATACACTATCAC